GGCCGACTTGGGCTGCTTGGAAAGCCACGGGAGCAGGCTGGGTCGCGAGAGTGGGCTGCTTGTCGGGAGCAGGTTGGGCCACAAGAGCAGGCTGCTCGGCGGGAACAAGCTGGGCCATGAGAGCATGTTGCTTGGTTGGAGTAGGCTGGGCCACGGGAGTGGGCTGCTCATCGGGAGCAGGCTAGGCCACGAGAGCAGGCTGGGCTGCGATAGTAGGTTGCTTAGCAGGAGCAGGCTGGGCCGCGAAAGCAAGTTGCTCGGCGAGAGCAGGCTAGGCCACGGGAATGGGCTGCTTGTTGGGAGCAGGCTAGGCCGCGAGAGCAGGTTGCTCAGTAGGAACAGGCTGGGCCACGAGAGCAAGTTACTCGGCGGGAGCAGGCTGGGCTACGGGAGTGGGCTGCTCGGTAGAAACAAGCTGCTTAGTGCGTGATGCATGCGAATATGAGGCTTGGGCTCGAGCCCGTGCAAGCTTGGATGGCACGGCTTGGGCCATGGTGGAACCTCGTAGTGGTGGTACCACTTCGCCTATGACCACATTTAGCCTCGTGGATCGCCGCGGTCCCATTTCTTAAGTATTAGAATTTTCATTTGTGGAATTTTCTAAATTTCTAGCCATTATATTTTTCTTATACATTTTATCAAAGAACCTTTGCAAATAAAAAATTCTAATAATAAGAACGTATGAAAAATATTCAAATGGACTAGAAAATAGAGAAAAAGCTTTTTATGCGAGAGTCTTCTACGAATATGGATCTCAACTCTCAATGAAAGCACCAATTTGTGGATGCAAATTTCCGCCTTCTTCTTATTGGACAAAATTGTACCTACAAAACAATTAACACCTTAGGTCAAGGCCAAGAGCCTCACAAGCCCACGATGAATTGGGAGGGGCTTTGGCCGAAGAACCTCCAATGCCAAAGTTAGAATTTAGAGAGAAAAGTATTTGGAGAGTTTTTTGGAGTTTTGCAAGAGTATCAACTTAGCTGTTTAGAAGAAATAGGGTCATATATAGGGAATGGGGTGTGGCCGGCCTTAAAGTGTGTTTTGGGGTGTTATTTGGTGATTCAATTAGCAATTAATATATTAATTAGGTATAAATATATTAATTGGCTAATTATCATAATAAAGGAAATGGTTTGGGAGGTTTTTGGAGGTTATGGAATGAGGATGGATGAGACAAATTTGAACTTGTTACCTATTTTGGGTACTCCTGATTTGGTTGATGGATGATTCTCCACTGCTCGTATGTAAGAGACCCGGTATGCCTCGAGGGTAAATTTGTCATCTTCACCCAAAAATCTATGTGTCGCTTTGTGATTATTTTTGGCTCCACATGCATGCTTGTGTACGCATATTATTTTTGTAATCCTTACATGTGGTATCAAATCCTTCCAATAAGGCTAGGGTTCGTATTAGACTATAAGGGTTAATTACACTAACACCCTTTGAGGATTATCGCGTTTTCACAAAACTCCTTCACGTTTGAGACATTACACAAACACCCCCTCAGGTTTTAATTCTCTTTCATATAACCCCTTCAGTAAAAAATTTCCTTGTAAATTTACTAATTTACCCTTATTAATTACTTAAAACTAATAGAAAAACTTTATAATTGTATAAAATAAATTATAAGTCATTAAACTCTTTAAAAAGGACAAGAAGAAGACCACGTTGACAAAAAGAAATTAAGAAAAGAAATTTATTTATTACTTTAAAAATAATATTTTATTAAAAAAAAAGTGTTCATCTTCTTCTTTCCCTCCCACCCCATCTCCTCCCTTCTCCATCACCACCACCCGTTCAACTTTTGAACAAACCAAAAAAAGGATCTCTCCATCTCCGACATTGTGTAAAATATTTATAATTTTACACAAACAAAATCGAGATTAGCAATAATAATTAAGAAAATATTTTTCCCGCAAATATTAGTGGTTGACACATCGGCATCGACGACCTGAAAAAAACACTGTATAAGATTAGTGAAGCAGCTTAATTCATAAGAGCGAACCAATTGAACCGGCAGTATTTGCGGGGACATGTAACCTCTCCTAAAATCACTCTAAACTTCTCGTTTCTTCTAAAACAAAAAATCCTAATGAACCAAATCCAATCCCACAGTATGACACATTGGACGACGAAAGATTCGATTGTCATCTATTTCTTAATAAAATATTATTTTTAAAGTAATAATTTATTTTTTTTCAAAGAAAGACCATCTCTTTCTTCTTCCTCTATTTAAAATTTTCGATACGCAACTTTTGGTCCATGGTTTTTTTTTGCCACCCTAAAGGACAACTCAATGTCACATCCCAGCTCAACTCCGCCGTAACACGATATTGTCCGTTCTAGGCTTATAATTCTCTCACGGCTTTGTTTTTGGGTTTCGGCACGAGAACTTCCCAGGGGCTTCACCCATCCTAGGACTGCTCTCGCCCAAACTCACTTAACTTCAGAGTTCTTATGGAATCCGGAGCTAGTGAGTTCCAAAAAGATCTCGTGCTATAGGAGGGGAGCATGTACATATAAGGCACATCACCCCCTCTTCGTTGGTCGATGTGAGATCTTACAATCCACCCCACTTAAAGGGAACCTGGCGTCCTCACCGACACATCCGCATCGAACGGCAGAGTGGCTTTGATACCATTCTGACACACCCCGATTCGGAATATTCACTAGGACTCCGAATTAAGCTGTGCTGGCCGACACATGGAAGGTGACGAAGCCATAAAGTGTAATGATGTGGAAAATGTGAATAAATTTAAAACTAAAAGTGCCTAAATATAAGAGTCCGCTGTGAGCGGGAATGAACTCATTTCACACGTGATGTCAGAGCATAAGTAAAGTACAGTAAGATAGAATAAGGATTATACCCTTGTTTTTCACCTCTCTAGGTTTTAGTAGCTGAGCTTTATTCTCGAAGAAGATTCTTGGCAAATTTCAGTATAGGTGGCTACCTTTAAGGGTATAATCCTTATTCTATCTTACTGTACTTTACTTATGCTTTGACATCACGTGTGGAATTGGTTCATTCCCGCTCATAGTGCACTCTTGTATTTAGGCACTTTTAGTTTAAATTTATTCACATTTTCCACATCACTACACTTTATGGCTTCGTCACCTTCTAGGTGTCGACCAACACAGCTCAATTCAGAATCATAGTAGACATTCCAGGTTGGGGTATGTCATCAATTTGCTGGGTTTTTTTTTTGCTCAATTTTGCCGTAATTTATGGTCCATTGGGATTAGGCAATTCCAAAGTCATCTTTATGAACCCTAATAATTAAAAAAAAAAAATTATTTATCGCCTCCAAATTTAAGTTGAATGGCTATTTGCTTTATGATCATCTATTTTTTAATAAACTATTATTTTCAAAGAATTAATTAAAATTTTTTTTTAGTTTGTTTTCATCCAATGGTCTTCTACTTGTCTTTTTTTTTAAATGTTTAATGACTTATAATTTATTTTATACAATTTTAAAGTTTTCTTTGTTAGTTTCAAGTAATTAATAAGGGTAAATTAGTAAATCTATAAGCAAAATTTTAACTGAAAGGGTTATATGAAAGAGAATTAAAACATGAGAGAGTGTTTGTGTAATGTCTCAAATGTGAGGGGGTTTTGTGAAAACTCTATAAATCTCAGGGGGTGTTAGTGTAATTAACCCGACCATATAATCAAACTAACAACACTTATACTAATCACTTTGATCCTTTCGATGATAACTGGTATATGAAAACCATATTATATAAGGAAAACTAATGAAAATGGCTTAAAAACTTTGAGTTTTAATGATAAGGACAAAATAAAGGGTAAAATGAATAGTACCAGGATTGACTTTTTAGTGTAAAAATGTGGTTTTCGTTAAAGTGAACAGTATCGGGAGCTTTTCGTTAAAGTTCCCTATTATATATTGTATTTGTACTACTGTGGTTTATTCAATGTCTCATGGAAGGATATCCTACAAGAAAGCTAAAGAATAACAAGAAGAAATCATGGATTTATGTGTTATTATAACACTAAATCAAAGAGTATAGTGTGAATTTTAAACAAAATTACAATGACAAATCTGCTCAAAAGTGTTTAGATCATTGTTTTGATTTATTATTCAAAGAATTTAAAGGTGATTTGCTTGAAAATAGTGGATAATAATCTACTCAAAAGTGTTTATTATTCAAGTCATTCGAGCAACTCAATGTATAGTGATACATGAAATTGACAAGATTGCATTATTCATCTGCTTAAAAGTGTTGAAGACATGTTAATTGACCTTGTGTTTTATGTATTGGCCATGCAACCTTAATATAAGCAACATTTGTCCAAAGATGATATTGTGTTTATATGAAACTGTTGATGGAAAACATTTTGTGAAAGCTTTCCCAATTATGTTAAGTACTCTAAATTCAAGAAATCTATTGATTGATAAATTTATGTGCATATGTTTCAACCCCTCACATGACTTCTCTAAATTTTGTAAACATTGAAACCCTGACTGGATCCAACTTCAAGAAATTGAAAGAGGATGTACAAATTGTGCTTGGAATGATGGATATCAATTTGGCAATCAGATAGGACAAGCCTGCAGATCTCACTGACACTAGCACAGTAGACCAAATGATCAAATTTGAGAAGTGGTAGGCGAACAAAATGTCCTTAATGATCATGAAGAAAGCCATGACTCAATCAGTCAAGGGAGGGATTCTGAAACTAGAAAATGCTAAAGAGTTCTTGGCTGTAGTGGGAGAAAATTCAAAGAGTCAAGGAAAACTGAAACATGCACATTTCTTACACAGCTTAGCTCCATGAAATTTAATGGGGTTGGCAGTGTAAGAGAACATATTCTCAAGATGGTAGATCTGTCTAAAAAACTGAAGGATCTCGAAGTTCCTATGACTAATCAGTTTCTAGTTCACATAGCTTTCAATTCCTTGCCATCCAAGTATGGACAGCTAAAAGTTTCATACCATACACAGAAGGAAAATGGGGAATTGATTAGTTGATTTCAATGTGTGCACAAGAAAAAGATAGACTCAAGGGTGACAAGTCAACTGAAGTAAATCTTGTTCAGGCTGCCAAAGTCATAAATGATGGTTCATCATTCACTGTTGGTAAGCAAAATAAGAAAGCATTTTCTTCTTCATTTAAAAGTGCTAACACCTCTAAAGGATCTCATAAACTCAAACATGTGAACACTAAAATTGAAAAAGAAAATGAATGTTATTTTTGTAAGGAAACATGTCACTTGAGAAAGAACTGTGCTAGTTTCAAAAACTGGCTTTCCAGAAAAGGTAAAACTTTCAATGTTTTTGTGTGTGTTGAGTCTAACTTGGTTTATATTCCACCTGAGAGTTGATGGCTTGACACTGGATGTACCATTCACATCATTAATTCCTTGCAGGGCTTCTAAAAAACAAATGAGATAAACAATGATGTCTACAATGTCTATGTTGGGAATGAGAGCAAGGTTGCTATTGAGTCAATAGGGAGTGTTCAACTAGTTTTATCTTCTAATTTTATTTTAAAATTGTGTCCAGTACTTTATTTTTCGTCCATGAGAAGGAGTTTGATTTCAGCTTCAAAGTTAGTAGAGTTTGGTTTATCCTTTGTTGGTGACCAAGAAAGTGTACATTTTTTTTATTCAAATAAATTAAACACCTTGCTAGGATATGCAATTCTTAATATTGATATGTGGAAAATGAAATGTTCATATATAGATGAGTGTTTTAATGCTTATCATGTTGGTTCCAAGAGAATACCCACTTGTGAAAAATCTTCCATGTTATGACACAAAAGGTTAGGGCACATCTCTAAGGAAAGAATTGTCAAGTTAACCAACCAAACCTATTGCCACCACTGGATTTCAATGATTTTAAAGAGTGCACAGACTATTATAAAGGAAAACTAACCAACACAAGAAAAAGTGGATCAAATTGAAGTTAGAACATGCTTGAAATAATACACACTGGCATTTATGGACCATTTACAACCAAAATTATATGTGGAAAGTCATATTTCATAACCTTTATTGATGACTTTTCACGATATCATTGTCTTTTTTATCTCAGAAAAGTCTGAAGCATTGGAATGTTTTAATCTTTACAAACTAGAAGTTGAAAAACAATTAGAGAAACACATTAAAATTGTACGATCTGATAGAGGTGGTAAGTACTTTGGCAGGTATTCTAAAACTGGACAACATAAAGGTCCATTTGCAACCTTCCTTCAAGAGAATGACATAGGGGCACAATACACAACCCCAGGTACTCCCTAACAAAATGGGATTGCAGAACGAAAAAAAGTGGACCTTCAAAGGCATGATAAGATCGATGTTTGCTCATTTTAAGCTGCCAATCTTTCTCTGGGGTGAAGCTCTGAAAACAGCAAATTACATCTTAAATAGGGTACCAAGTAAGTTAGTGGACATAGTGCCCTTTGAAGCATGGACTGGAAGAAGACCCAGCTTCAACCATTTCCATATATAGGGCTGCCAAGCTGAGGCAAGGTTCTATAATCTAGCTGAAAAGAAACTAGATCCCAGAACCACGAGTTGCAGATTCATTGGATGAAGACACACAATGCTAAATTTGTTGAAGAATTGGATGAAGTTCAGTTAATTGAAGATGCATCAACATGACCAAAATTCGAAGAATTAGCTATTGATAGCAGCTTCAATGATTTCCTTCCTCAACAAGGAACCATGTTATCTATACCTACACATATACAACTTGTGATTCCCACTGCAGTCTTCAATCTTTTAGGCACTAAAACATAAGTGCCTGTTGCTAATGATATTGCAGAAATGGAAATGGATCATACACTTCCACTGAATGATCCAATTTCAGATGTTGGCATTATAATGGAAACTGTAACTCAAAGTCAGATTCATGAAGAGACAGTAAGTGTGAGAAGATCTTAAAGAGCAAGAAAAGTAGTCATTCTTCCTGATTTTGTATACCTGAATGAAGCTGAGTACAATTTAGGAGATGAAGATGATCCCATCACTTACCATTAGGCTATCACTAGCATGAGATCCAAGCTATGGCAGACAACAATGGATGAGGAATTGGAGTCCATGCAGAAAAACCAGGTATGGACTCTAGTTTCAAAACCAAGTGGAGATACCAAGACAGTAGGTTGTAAGTGGGTTTAGAAAACTAAGAGAGATTCACTTGGAAACATTGATAAACACAAAGCCAAATAGTTGCAAAGAGGTTCACACAAAGGGAAGGGATTGATTATAACGAGACATTCTCTCATGTCTCAACCAAAGACTCTATAAGAGTTATTTTAGCACTCACTGCTTACTTAGACTTGGAACTGCACCAAATGGATGTCAAGACTGCATTTCTAAATGAAGAACTTGAAGAAGACATTTACATAACTCAACCACCAAGATTTGTTGAAAAGGGGAATGAGTCAATGGTCTGTAAAATGAACAGGTCTATTTACGGTTTAATGCAGGCTTCCAGACAATGGAACATGAAGTTTGATACTGTAATGTCCAAGTTTAGTTTCCAAGAAAACAAGATAAATGAATGTGTGTATCTTAAGATAAGTGGTTCGAAAATCATCTTCTTAGTTTTATATGTGGATGATATTCTACTTGCTAGTTCTGATCTCACCTTGCTGCAAACTACCAAAGACATGTTGGCTACAAGTTTTGACATGAAGGATCTAGGGGAAGCAATGTTTGTACAGGGCATAGAAATCATTCAAGATAAAAAAATAAAAAAAAAAGAGCTATTGGTCTCTCATAGAGGCAATATGTTGATATGATCACTAGAAGATTCAATATGGAGAAATGCGCTGGTGGTGAATTACCAATTGGGAAATGGGACAAAATGAGCAGTGAACAAAGCCTTAAAAATGAGTTCGAGAGGAGAACATGAAAGACAAGCCTTCTGTATCGCTTGTGGGAAGTTTGATGTATGCTTAAGTGTGTACAAGTCTAGACTTGGCATTTGCAGTTAGTGTACTAGGCAAGTTTCAAGCAAATCCTAGACCACCTCACTAGATTGCAGCCAAGAAAGTCTTGAGATATCTTAAGAGAACCAGAGATTTCATTCTCACTTATAAACATGTTGATGTACTTGAGTTGTTAGCTTACACTAACTCGGATTTGGTAGGATGTGTTGATAAGCGAAGATCAACTAATGGATACATCTTTATGTTAGTTAGTGGCGCTGTTTCATGGAAAAGTGCCAAACAGAAATCAATTGCTTCATCAACTATGGATGCTGTGTTTATTGGATGATATACTGCAACCAAACAGGCAATCTGGCTCAGAAATTTGGTGAGGGGATTAAATGTGATGGACAACATTGAGAAGCCACTTAAGTTATACTGTGACAACAAGGCAGCAGTGTTTTTCTCGAAGAATAACAAGAGATCACTTGCAAACAGACTTATGGATATGAAATACTTAAAGGTAAGGGATGAAGTAAAGAAGGGAACTATTTATATTCAACATATAAGCACATAACTTATGGTTGCTGACCCTCTTACAAATGTCTTCCCAATGGGAGTATTCAAGAAGCACACCTTTGATATGGGAGTGAGAGACTCTTTTGATTCTGTCAATGAGTGAAAGTAAGCACTCAATTGATTCTTATGATACATTTAATTGTTGGTTATTGTTCTCAGTCAGTTTCTTTGATATTTGAACTATATTTGAGATTATCAGTATGGAAATTTTACAACTGATATATTATTCCTAACAGATTTTTGTACTAAAGCTTGCTTCAATTTGTATTGTGAGCTAATATTTTGATTATTAGTTCTTGACACCATGACTTTGTTAGCAACAAAGTACTTTAAGTTGAATGCGTATGTGATCTTGGAGTGCAAAGAACAGACCAAGTTGTTCTTTGTTTTCTTTGGTTCTGGATTCGATTCAAAGTGACAAGTTGCTAGGAAAGGTTGCATACTTATGAAGACTTAGTGATCACCATGAGTTCTTATTGGTTAGGATGAATCATTGACATTCAAGTGGGAGAATGTAAGGTTGTGAATGACAATGAGTGATGTATTGGATTACTTATGTTGTAGGCCACTTGTCTATCAAGTTGTTAACAACTTAAGTAATCTGATAGTCCTAATGAAATAAGGATTATGAAGCCATATCCTTTGCAATTGACCTTAAAGAAATTTGATAGGTATCACTACAAAGATATAGAATCATGGTGGGACTTAAACATTTAAGTGATAGGGTTTGGTTTTCACAACCAATAATAGGTTGGCTGTGATGAAAACCTTAATGGTATAAATATTATGGTTATGTCCCTACTTCCATACGCTCAATCTCTCAAAATACGCTAAACCCTATTCACAACAGAGAGATATTTTGAAGTACTGGAAGTAGAAGACGACCTAGTTCTGCAATGGCTTCTTCTTCTTCAAGTAAGTTTCACGTAAAACTTATATTGCATGCATGCATGTTGTGTTAGACTTTATATATTTCATAAACAACTAAAAACACTAACCTTAAAAAATCCATAAATTATGCTCATTTGATAAAGTACTCGAAGTCAACATGACATGTAGGAAAGATGAACCATCTTTGATAGAACCGTGCGGAATAGGCTCAACCATGGACTTCTCCTTCGGTGGAAATCATATTGGAATCCTACGGAATAATGTGTTAGTTGATCAAAATCTACTGCACACTCAACACTCCTTTATACTCGAACTAATGGGGCGTTCATATGAGTTTTCTGTGTGTTGTGAGTAGGGACCTTAGCCTTGTATTTATATGGACTTAACCCTAATGAATCTTCCCATAATAATGTCATTAGGATTTCTTGCAGTCCAAGGATAATTGATACACTAAATCTCAATCCAAATAGGATAGAATTAGGAGCCCTTATTCCCCAAGGAAATCCGGAATATGTTAACTTTACTTGGGGTACAAGCTTGTGTATGCATATTATTTTTGTAATCCTTACAGAAATACCAAACCCAACATAAATCGAGAAAGTCATAAATCAGTCTATAACATAGTAAGTTTTATATGCTGATAGTAACTTATTCCATAGCTAATTAATATCAAGAAAACATAACGCCTTCTGGAGACAATCGAACAAAGTGATTGAGAACTCTCTCGCTACTCTCCAGCTTGCTGATTTTCATAAATTGCACTCTCCAGCTGTGAGTGAAGGAAAAGCAGAATATCAGAAGATTGTACTTATTTTCGATCATATGGCAGCATGTTTCTCTAACTATCATTGTAAAAATCATACACACACACACACACACACACACATGCACACATAAACGTTCTCTATATATCTGTTTATGCGATAGATATAAGCTGAGAAAAGATCAAATAAGTTAACAATTATAAGATTAGTACCTCAGCAATGCGATTCAGATGCGGCTTCACGACATAATATTCACTCTTGAGATTGTCAACAAGCATCAGGCACCTACAAACACAACACTTAGACAAGATTTGTATAAAAGAAAGTCTTTCGATATGCTAGATTTTTTTTTTTGGTCGAAATCTTCAATGTGCTAGATTAAACGCATGTACATATACACACATACATAATTTGAATTTACAATGGTTTTGAAAGGAAAGAGAGAGAGAGAGAGAGAGAGAGAGAGAGAGAGAGAGAGAGAGAGAGAGAGAGAGAGAGAGAGAGAGAGAGAGAGCTTAATCGCCTAAGAGACGAAGGTGCTATATTTCATTCAAAATAATTAAAAAAAGAATTTGAAAATTTTGTTGGTTTTTCTTCAAAAACTTTGATATATATGTAGCAATACATGATTAATTAAGAAGTGATTACTTTGAGTGGGTTTGATTCTGTGGATGCATGTTAATTAAGTTGTTAATGTTAATTAGCGGCTTAATTGATGACCTGTGTATAAATATTGTGAGGCAACAAATTAAGGAACTTACTCCTCTTTGTTTTGTGCAGCACTTGCATCCGAGAGCTCTTGTGCGACATTGGCCAACCGAGCACAGCCCAAACTATAATATTCCACATTTAACCCATCAATTTTAGTTCTTTGAGTTTGAACAAAGCAAAAGATAATTATATGATGTACAACAAAAAAATACAAAGGTGACCAAAATTGAAGTTTTAAAATCATGATAAATAAATTATCTGCAGATGCATGGCAAAATATTTTTATTTAGTTTACTCGTGCTGAAAACTTTGCCATGAGCTTCTAAGCACAAAAAAATAAAAAATAAAAAGCCTTCAGTGGGGACTATCACTTGAATAAACAATTTTTTTTTTTATATAAATTAATGCTTTGTGGTTCAGTTTAGATCTTAGACACCAATTTTTTTTTTCACAAGCATATTATTTAAGAACGCGTGCACACACGTCGTACAAAAAATAGCTTCATGTTTAAGAAATTACTAACAATCAATTCCGTACCTCGCGGCACTTCCCTTGTTCCTGTAGGAGAGATGACCCACTCGGGAATAGTTGACATCAGCCTCACTCCTTAAATTGAAGTTTCTCCAATCAATAATAGTATATATACATATTTTAAATTTATAGTATTAAGGGAAGGGGTTCGAACTATTACAATAATTTAGAAGATTCAGAGTTTTAAACCCAAAAAGAATGTGTTAAAACCGAACATTTTATCCCCTAGGATATTGGAACACATGCATATATAGGCATCATGCATGTATATGTAAATGAAGAAAATAGTAAAGGAAATACAGATTTGTTGTGAGCTCTGCTATGATTTCTTCAATTCTAGTAAAGAACGGAGTGATGAGATTTTTCAAAAGGTGAGGATTATTTTCGTCTTGTAACGATTTCACTTCGTCAATATAGTCGTCCAAAATTCCCTGCAGGAACATGGTTAATAATGTCTAAAAATTAATCAATACTAGCAACCTCTATTGTGCATGTGTTTAGGTAGGATAATTTTTTTGCATTACAGAATAAGTGCGACAAAAAAAAAAACAGTAACAGAGAAAGTGATTGTAAAATTTAAAATTACATTACTATAATGTGCATTTAATCCTCTTTGATTTCAGGATATAATGTAACTTCTTTCGTATTATATATGGCGAATTTGATACCAAATTAGATTGCTCATTGTGTGACTTAACCGAACTTTCTCTCCCTTTAGTGTAAAATATAGGGAGCTTTAATGAAAAAAGCTTGGGCTAACAAATATTTAACCAAAAAGCATCCCAAAATGTTATTTAACCAAAAGGGCTCAAAGTTTAATAAAAAAATAGCCAAAACTATTGTCCACAGGTCAAACTTACAAGCCCAACTTGCTACAAATCTACACTTCTGTAAATAACCCTAAATGATTTGATATTGTCTTGACTCTTCACCAACCTCAACCCAGCACGAAACCGCCATAATAACTCCATGTCTTCCTATCAAATCAAATTCCCCCATTTCAAAAACAACCAAATCAAAGTTGAAAAAGAAAGCATTCATCGGAACAAAGTCACCAAAACAAGTTCAAAAAAGTTTAATGGCAGAAACCAATGAAAAAATGTCTGCAAAAAAAAAAAAAAAACCAAAACATAAAACTGTTTCTGGAAAAAAAAGAATATATATTGTTTGTTTTGTCTGTGCACAAATAAACACTGTATCTGGAAAGAAAGGAACAAAAATCCAGAAACAATGACTTAAATTTCAAAAATAGTGACTTAAATTTCAAAAACAGTGACTTAGATTCCAGAAACAATGACTTAGTTCCAAAAACAGTGTATGTTTTAACTTTTGACTGTTTCTTTTCTTTCATGCATCAGTTGATTATATTTAAGAAACATAGTGCTTATTTTTCTTTGAATCCAAATACAATGAATTTCACTATTTCTTTTCTAGCTTACATTTAAGAAACAGTGTGTCTATTTCACGTGGATCCAGAAATAGTGACTTAAATTCCAGAAACAGTAACTTAGATCCAGAAACAGTGTTACTTAAAATCCAGAAACAATTTATTTTTACAGTCCAGAAACAGTGACCCGTTGTTATTATTGAATAACATGTAGATCTCAAATTTATTTTCTAGAGAAACAAACGACAAACTCCACTGACGATGAAAAATTGAAAAACAGTACCTCGAATACACTATGAATAATAACAACGATCACATTTCAACGAAATAACACAAAATATAAATTAAATAGCATGATGATCTATATTTTTGTTTCAAAGAAAAAGAAGAAGGTCTACAAAACAACGATGAACTCCATTAATCATGAAAATCTAGAACTCAGCCTAAAAAAGTTAGGGGTAAAAACGACAAATCATAATTTATTATAGTTGGGCTATTTTTAGTTAGACTACTTTAATATGGGTCTTGTACTAATCATTAAACAAAACTTATAACATGGTTTTTTATTAAAATTAAAAATTTTCAAACCATTTTCATTAGTTTTCCTTAAAATATATCCTTGTACATAAAAAAATAAAAATAAAAATGAAATAAAAAATAAAAAATAATAAAAACTCTATATTATATGACTGAAATAAGCTACTATGACCAAATCACCATTTTCAGTCAAATAAGAGAAAACCCTTCAAATTAATGATTCGAGAAGAGAAATTATTCAATATAAAATAAGCAAAACAAATTAACTGAACAAAAAAAGGGTGTGAAGTGAATAAACTTACTTGGTCTTTCAAGGAGCTGATTAGTTCTTTGAGCTGTTGCTCAGCCATTGTCCAAGGTGATAGAGAAACAGTAAGACGAAAGGGAAGGCAATTTCT